TTCTATTCAACACAAATTGGGTCATTTACAGGTGTTGTTTTGTGTGGTAGAGGGTCGCTTTCATTGATGCGTTTTGCACCCCGGGCCGTTGTTTTGATATTCCGCTGAAGTATAGGCTGTGACATAATAACAATTTTTTTTTTCGAGGGGAGGGGTCAGAGGCAAGCCCCCGGGAAGTGCGCTGCACTCTGTGCCAATATTCGTTGTGTCCAAACGGTGGTACTGCAATTTCCGTATCAGTCTCTGACATCACCCGGCCCAAAACTACTTTTTCTCATTGACTAACATGGGGAAGGAGACATCTGTAAATCGGTAGATAATTTTTTTTTAACGAAATAAACTACCCAGTATGAACTACTTTATAGCCCTTATTAGAATCATTCAGCCCTTAAAGTTGTAAAATGCACTAAAAGGCTAAGCCGAATCTAGATTTATTTTCTCTCTCCATTCATTCTACTGAGCCGAGAGTGGGAGCTCGGGGGGGCGGGGCTTATTTGACATGTATGTGCTTGTATACTAGTATGTCATGTTTGCATATTTGTACAAATACTTGTGTTCATTATTTATGTGCTTCAAATGGCTTCCATTTCATTACGATGTGATATAAGCCCCAGCTTAATAAATCCTCTTTATTAGTCTTCATGTCTGTGCTGTTGGGAGTTACTTTCAGTCTTTTAAAGGTGCAATATGTGCCTGGTCATGCCTTGGCCAGTGACAAAATAATATTGCTGTTTGCTCACGCATTCTACATAACTAGCCATTTATTCCGTTTTTAGCAGGCACCAGTGTTTATTTCCATTGCATTGGCGTTTGGAACAGGGTTTTTTGGTTTTAGGGTTTAGGGTAACAGTTGGAACAATGGACTTTTGGTGCGAAGGGACATATTTGTTGGTTTATCTGAGAAATATGCCACTGTAACACTTATAGTAGTAAAGGCTGTAAATGTTTAAATCCAACATGCTACAGTATCTCTAGGGCAGTGGTTCTCAACCTGTGGTACGCGTACCACTGGTGGTACGCCAGCTCCCGCTAGTGGTACGTGGAGGAATCTGACATATATAAAAAAAAAAAAAAGATTTATTTATTTTGTATTCAAAGGTGGGGTAGGTAATTTTGGAGAAACCAGCTCGAGTGAGCTAGAATTTGAAAATACACAACCGGAAAAAATATGCCACTTCCACAGATGACATTTTTTTAAGGATCTTTTGTCAAAGCACTTCAGATATTCATTGCTATCGGGATGTTAAGAGCATTCCATGGAATATAACAAAAGTGTACGAGCCGGTTTCTCAAACGTACCTACCCCACCTTTAACCTTTACACATAACACAAACATATAAAATACAGGAAACAGAACTAAGTAAACAAAAAGACGAAAAGCAGTCACTACATTGTGCACATTGGGGACATTAAGGTACACTATTATTACTGCAAGAGCAGCTGATGGTAAGGACCTCAGACAACTTCAATTTAAAACAGGCTATAGGGACAAGTGCCATCAGTTTGAGGCTTGATTGAATAACATTAATTACAAAATAAATCATACTGTGTGGGCTCTCATGGTCAGATGTCGGTGGTCTCCCGCGAGATCCGAACACTGTTGATACGACGAGGACATTGGTGACTTTTTTTGCTTTTCTCTCGCTTGCCAGAAGCCCAATCGACGACAATCGGTAGACAACAATTCGGCAGACAATCGACAGTATCTGCAGACAAACAATCGGCGAGAACACAGGCCACGCGCGTCCAGGTGGGGATGGCGGCGCCGCTTACGAGTCACCCACGCGGCTGCTGACGGGGCAGACAGGGTCGCAGGAGGAAGGCAGCCTCGCGCAGTTCCCATCTTCGTGAACGGTGGTCAGATCGGGGCTGAGCTCTCGGTCGGAGGGTCCATTCTTTCCATACACCAAACGAATTGTTATGCCTGACACATCAATTATTGAAGGGATAGGTTCAAATTGGGCAATTTACAGGACAATAACTCTGGGAACCTAAAACTTATTTATCTAGACTTAGTTATGCTGAATATCAGGCACCGCTGCGATATATTTTGAAAAAAAAAGGAGAGTGCTGCGTAAATAACCGACTACGGTGAAGGTCCTCGCTGAATATCAGGGGCTTTTATGCCATGGGCGAGAAAGATGGGGCTTGAGCTTTCGTTTGTCTTCAGAAGAGATGTTATGTGTTAAGGTTTGATTTTCCTAATAATATGGATCTCGTCACCCCAAGAGTTGAAAAAGGTGGTTCATGGGTGGACTGTGGTATCAACGCGAGAGGTTATGGTGGGTATGTTACTGGTTACAATTTTATGTTCAGGTACGGTCCTGAGCTCCGTTTACATAAAAAAAAGAGAGAGTAGGAGAGAGAGGCAGAGTACAGGGAGGAGAGAGAGAAGAGAGGAGAGAGAGAGTAGAGGAGAGAGGTGAAGGAACGAGTGTGGTGGTGTTCACTTTATATTTCTTTTTTTTATTGAATAGAGTGTGTTGTTTACCATTGATGTTGTGTAAAGAAAGGACTGGTATATGGTTTCACACCTTTTGACATCCCGGGAGGACCGTTGTGGATGTAGATTTTTTTTACGAGGATAGCCGGCTTTAAGTCAAAGGTTTTATTTTACTTTCGGAGGTCATTCGTCTTACTCGGATTCGGATTTCGAAGTAGAAGTCAGACCGACTACAACGATAAAGGGGAAAGACACCACCGTTTCATTTTTCTTTTCTTCTATTCTTTTTTCTGTTGGTAATTCCTGTTCACACACGAAAAAGTCGAATGGAGCCCAGGGTCGGAAGAGAGGTAATAACTGTTTTACGAAGAAGGACTCAGTGAGACAGGGGAAGGAGTGTCGCCGGGACACGTATAGTGGAAATAAACGCAACGAACCGCTTCGACGCGAAGCACGGCCAACTACGTGACAGGGGAGGGAGTAAGTGTAAAAGTGAAACGACATTATAAAAGGAGACATGGAGAGAGAAAGGCTTATGGAGGGGCAAAACTCGGTGCAAATAATTGTAGTAAGTCGAAATAAGAAAAAATCGAACGCACGTTGCATGTCCATTCATTACAGCATTTAATCGTTGCGGTCTTTATTTTTTTTTCAAAAACAAAGATTTAGATTTTTGTCGTTATCGATATTTTGAGAAATTGGTGTCAAAGTTTAATAGGTCGAATAAAAGTAGCAAC